ATTGGAGGATTATCAGAGGACAGAAGTGGTGAAGCCATTGTAGATGTCATTCTTATTTCTCTGAAGGCTTGAGAAGGTTAATCTTAGTGTGAGAAGTGGTGGATATAGATAGCTCTGAACAACAAGGTAGAAATGAAAGTTCAGGGAAGAAAAATGTGATTGAACAGATAACAGGTTTGACAAAAATGTCCTAGATGATGAGGTGAAGATATTCATATGGTTGAGTGCTAAGCTCTTTGGTGTGGACCCTGCAAAAATGTAGAGTCAGAATGAGATGCCTAGATTTCAAGATATTTGACTCAAACATGACATACACTATCTTAGGTACATACTATTTCCTTTACCAATAAGGTAGTACAATTAATCTCTGTGTATTTATATTTTAAACTTCACAAACACTTGAACTATACAAGTCATTGATTTCTATAAATTTTAAAAAATGATTTCTTGCCCCAACAATATAGTGTTTAGTCTCTTCCTCTAGTTCTATGACTATTTATTTATATGCAATTTACCACCTTACTTCTTTGGTCATGCACAAGTGATCCACCATGGCAACTAATTTGCTAACTTAAGCAGCATTAGTGAAAGTTTAAATTATTATAATTGAAGTGGAAAATTGGAAAATTCCACTAAAGTGGAAAATTCCACTACCGGGCTTTGTCTTTTGCCTTCCTTACCTGCGGCCCCTCCTCCCCTGTGACCTTTTCCCTCATAAATCACCTGTAGCAATTAGTGTACCAGGTCGTAAAATAACTTAGGACTCTGCCTCACTAAAGTTAACCTGTTGTAATGGTGCCCCTTCCGCTTAAGTAGAGTGTATAAAAGACTGCAATGCTCTTTATCTGGTGCTCAGAATTTGGAGGGAAAAATCCCCATCTGAGCCCGCTGGCATATAAACCTGTTTTTCCCAATATTTCTGTGTGCGTGTCGGTCTATTCCTGGTCATCTCTGCCGTAACATAATCACTGGGGAATCCATCCCTGGACCAAAGAGTATGACTGCACTGACCTATGTCAATTTTATACATCTGCATTTTTAAATACTTTAAGGATTGGAAGTCCTAGCGTAATTTAGATATTGACATTTAAAAAACATTTTAACAAATATCAATACTATACTGTTGATTCTATTTCCAATAATGGTAGACTAGACAACTCAGATCAACCCTGATGCTTGAAACAACTAGAAAACAATCTGATTGGGACTGTAGGAGAGGAAAGGCTTTCCCTCTGCCCTCTGAGGATTCAATAACATAGTCTATGAAATAAACTGACAGCAGGCAGATTAATAGGAGAAAATGTATACAAATTTATTATGTGCACAGGGGCATCACATGAAGGAAAAGTGAATACCCAAAAACCGAGTGAGATCTAGAAGCTCATATACCCTTTTCTTAGTGGAGAGGACAGAGAGTATGTAGGCAACTTATGGGAGAGTAAATAATCTTGGGGAAAGATGAATGGGCCCTCCAAAGAATAGATGGTAGTCTGTGACAACGTCTGTCTGGGCATAGAGTTGACCTCTGGTCTCCTCTCTTGTGATACAGTTAATCTTCCCTGGTTGGATGAGAGTCATGATAAATGAGTTCCTTTTGGAGGATCTGTCTTTAGTCAGATAAGGGAAGTTCAGGGAAAGTCCCTGCCGACATTTTCTGTTCCTCAAGTACCCTCAATGTGACATCCAAAATGGCATATTTTGAGGTGGCACTTCCCTACCTCCTTCAATTCTTACAAAAGTGTCAGGCAAGTAGGTATCAGGACAAGGCTACTCAGAAGGCTGAGGTGGGAGGATCCCTTGAGGTCAGGAGTTCAAGACCAGGCTGAGCAACCTAGTAAGACCCTGTCTCAAAAGACAAACAAACAAACAAAAACCGAAGGAAGAAATACAGAGTCAAGAGTCAGAAAAAGAAGAAAACCCAGAGTATTTTTCAGGTGGGAAATAAGAGAAAAATTTCCACATACTATTATGGAATGATCTTCAGGATATGTATATTTAAGGGGCAATAAGCAAGATAGAGAAAACTGTGTGTAGCATGTTGCTATTTATCTAATAGAGGGATGTTAAGAATACACATATATATATGTACTTATATTAACAAACAAACAATAGAAGGATAAATAATAACATTAGAAATTATTACCTCTAAGGTGAGAGAGGCTACAGGATGAAGAGAGACTTCTTTGAATATATTTTGATGTAACTTTGGGACAATGTAAAAATATTTTATGTAGTGATAAAAGCAAATATTATAATAAAAAGCTAAATCTCTAAACATCAACAGCAAAATTAAGTACATGAATCTGTGAATCCAGATTGTAACGTAAGCACACAGGAAGGAATACTCCAAATACTTTGAGAAACAGTAATATGAACATGCCTAGTAGGATATACCATAAGGCAGTAGTTCTCAGACTTTCTGGTCTCATGACCCATTTACACTGTTAAAAAGTTATAAGGATCTGAAGAGTTTGCGTTTATGTAGGTTATAACTATTGGCATTTACCATATTAGGTATTAAAATGAAAAAAAATTGTTTTGTTAATTCATTTAAAAATAACAATAGTAAACCCATTATGTTAGCATACATATTTTATAAAAAACCGCTTATATTTTTAAATGAAAAATTAGTAAGAGTGACATCGTTTTGCAATTTTGCAACTCTCTTTAATGCCTTGTTTAATAATGAAGTGGAAAATTGGAGAATTCCACTAGAGTGGAATTCTTAGAAAATTCCACTATGTTGTAGTGTGGAGGGCGCGAACAGACCACAGGAGAATTCAATGAAGCCAAATTGAGAGTCTTTATTAGCTGGCCAGTGACCACCTCCACCCGCATAAAAGCAGTACGAGAGAATGGCACCATCTCAAGTTTCTATGAGGGTTTTATACTAGTTTTGAGGGAGGCTACGTGACATAGGGCAGGTGTTCAGGGAACCAAAGCGGGGAGTAGAGTCTGGGTTGCGAGATACAAGGTCACAGGACATAGTTGCCCTCACAGATCTCTGGCACCCGAAGGCAGATTACAATCCTCAAAGCAAGCTGCAAGCAGGGTTACAGAAGCAGATGGCAGTCATCAGACAAAAGACTATTCTTTCAGTCTAGGCAGTCTAGCAACACTTCAACTATGTAGCCATAATTTAGCCAGCCCCTGGCACACTGTTTATTTCATTTATTAATCCCTTATTGTAAAGCTCTCAGCTCACCACATTCCCCACTGGTTTTTACCGAGGGATCAAATCCTTAATGTCCCATTATACTTCATTTTCACAAATGTGGTGATAATGGGTGCGTAGCACCATTAGCTTCACACTCTGTATATGTTTCTGTATATAGGTTATTAAACAATTAAGTATGCATGGTCGGATGAAAAGCATTAATAGAACTAAAAGTAATGGACTAGCTATAGCCGACAGAAGGGTGGTGAGCCACGGAGACCAAGTAAACAAATTTTTATACCAATTATTTCCAGTGTTTAATTGTTCTTCTCTTTTTCTTATTCTGTTCCTCACTTGGGAAAGGCTATTTTGAATAACTCCGGAATGATTGGCATAAAAACAGCAAGTCTCTCCTAGGGCCACACATAAGCCACCTTGTTTTAGAAATAATAAATCTAATCCCCTTCTGTTCTGTAATACCACTTCAGCCAATGAATCCACTGATTGTTCCAAGTAATTAATAGATTTTTCCAAGTCACTTAAGTCTAGGTCCACTTGGTGGCTTAATATTTTAAAATTCTGATTCTCGGTGATTAAGGCTGTAGTACCCACAGCAGCAGAGCCTGCTATATCTAGTCCTACTAGTAGGGGTACTAAAATCGGGATGGCTCTTCTCATCTGCCAGGTAGTGGAGGCTTGTAGATGCTCTCTCCCTCCTTCACCTGAATAAAAATAAACCTGGGGAACAATATGAGATAGGATACATAAATCTTGTTTCTGTATAATTATAGAGGGCCTTACACAAGGTGTAATGCCAGTGGTACACGCAAACCACGTGCCATTCAGAGCCACCAAAAGTGTGTCCGATTCAAAATCTGTAAAATTATTTAACTGAATAGTAATATTGCAGGAGTCTGCATATGGGGACTGGGATAAGGTAAAACCTAGTGGATGAACACATGTCCCCTGCCCTTGTAAGTCCTCTAAGGTCAGCTTAGGCTTTTGGCCCCACTTACATAGACGTTGCTTATATGCATCCTCAGTAGTCAAATTTTTAATGTAATTTTCTTCATGACCGAGGGGTCGGGTGGCCCCAATACCGAGATAATAAGGGGGCTCTGGGTTTAAACAAAGCCAACAATCTCTGGTCATATTAGGTTTTGTTTGATTAATAAACTTGTATACAGAATTTAGTAAATTAAGCACAGGCTTCTGGCGAGGACCCAGCAACAGATTCTGTATAGGGACAGTTATCGTCATAGGGAGACGTGATGGAGTGGGCAGTTCGGGCTCTAAATAAATTTCCCGGTTTGGCCCTATGGGGTTAAACTGTCGAACAGGGGTGAGCCGTTGTATTGTGAGGGAGACCCCCGGGTCATTGGATCCTCCAGTTGTCACACATAGATGGAATCCCCAAGTTTCTCCTGACGCCCAAGCTTGGTTTTTCCATTGCTTAATACTTACAGCCACAGGATTGCAAGGTCCTAGGGAAGCACAAGCAGGGGTTCCCTTTATCAGTAGAATACCAGGGTCATTGTTTATCTAAGTAGCCACAGTCACATAGTTCTATTTAGCACAATGGTAATGTCCCTGTTTCTGACAGTACAGAGGGCCAGTGGTAGGGCAACTATAATATTGAATGTCCTGTAGGCCCTTTTCCATATTAACAGATCCACATCCATAAGCTGGTTCTAGGCGAGCCTACTCGGGGATTCCCTGGTAGGGTGACTTTCTTACCACAGGTTTATTGTAATTTTCCCCCAAGAGTTGGCACAAATCAAAATGAAGAAGAGGTGAGAATATTGTAGAATTCTGAGTCACTACAGTGCCATCTACTGTTCGAGTGAGCACCCAAGTATAATTTATAGGTTGGTGGGGACTCGCTCCCACTACACCGACTAGGATGCCCCAGAGGAATGTTTTAATAACCTTATCTTTAACGGGTTTTCGGTGGGTTGAGCCATCCAGTGTTCTCCTGGGATTTGGTCTGGAGTCGCCTTCTTGATCTGGGTATAATGGATCCAATGGCGCTTCCCCGCTACTTTCACAGCCGTCGGGGTGGTGAGGATTACTGGCAAAGGTCCAGTCCACTTGGGCTCCAAAGCAGCGGGTTGAAGCTTCTTTACCCAGACGAGGTCTCCAGGCTGTATCTGGAATGGAACTTTATCAGAAGAAGGGTTAGCAGGGCCTGGGTGAGCAGCCCTGACCAGGTCTTGAGTTTTCTGGGTGCTCAGCTGCGAAGCCTGTAAGGACTTGAGAAGGGAATAGTCACTTAACTCCGCTAGTTTGTCCTCCCTCACTTTAGGAACCAGTGGGGGCGGACGGCCAAACATGATTTCATATGGAGTTATGCCTTTTATATAAGGGGTACACCTAGCTCTTAGTAGAGCGAAAGGAAGGAGACTCACCCAGTCCTCGCCCGTCTCTGCTCTTAGTTTACTCAGTGTCTCTTTTAAGGTTCTATTCATTCTTTTTACCTGCCCTGAGCTTTGAGGCCTATAAATACAATGCAATTTCCATTTTATCTTTAATACTTGAGCCAATAATTGAGTGGTTTTAGCGATGAACGCTGGACCATTGTCGGACCCCAGAGCTAAGGGGAGGCCAAATCTAGGAATAATTTCTGTCACTAACTTTTTTGCCACTACCTGTGCTGTCTCTAACTTTGTGGGAAACGCTTCCACCCATCCTGAGAAGGTATCAACAAACACTAATAAGTAGCGATATCCATATTTATCTGGCCTTATCTCTGTAAAATCCATCTCCCACTGTTCTCCCGGGGCCTGTCCCCTCAATCTGGTCCCAGGAGAAGAATTTATTCTTTTACCTGAATTAATTTGTGCACAGGCAAGGCATCTTGTAGTTACCTGCTCGACCATCTGATGTAGACCATGTATATAATAGTCTCTTTGGAGAAGCTCTGTCAATTTTGTGCTACCAAGGTGAGTACTTTGGTGTATTTGTTCAATTAATTGTCGCCCCAAACATTTGGGGACCAGGATCCTATTATCCGGAAGGGTTTTCCAACCCCCCATAATAGTGTTAGCTTCCAAAGTCTTTCCCAACTCAATTTCTTCCTTTGTATAAGTTGGTGAAGGTGGCAGAAGTCATTCGGGCAGAACAGGCAGGATGTGAAGAGGCCCCACTGGTTTTCTGGCGGCTTCCTTAGCCGCGGCGTCGGCAAACGCATTTCCTTTTGCCATTGGGGAGTCATCAATCTGGTGTCCCCGGCAATGGATGATGGCCACCCTTTTTGGTAGCCATATAGCTTCCAGTAGAGCCAAGATTTCAGATTTGTTTTTTATTTCTTTTCCTCCTGAATTTAGAAGGCCCCGTTCCTGGTAAAGTGCCCCATGAACATGAGCAATAGCAAAAGCATATCTACTATCAGTATAAATGTTAATAACTTTGTCCTTTCCCCACTTTAGGGCCTGGATCAAAGCAATGAGTTCTGCTTTCTGAGCTGAGGTTCCTCGATTCAAAGCTTGTGCCCAGATAACCCGATTTCTGGTAACCACTGCAGCCCCTGCATACCCAGTTTCTTCACCCACATACCTGCTTCTGTCTGTGTATAGCTCCTCATCAGGATCTGGCCAGGGTCGGTCAGTAAGGTCAGCCCGTAAGTTAGTCAGAGACTCCAATATCTCATGACAGTTATGTAATGGTTCTGAAAGTTTGTCATCTGGAAGTAAGGTGGCAGGATTGAGAGAGGCTGTCTTCAGGAAGCGAATTCTAGGAGGGTCCAATAATAACACTTGATACTGAGTTATCCGAGCATTTGAAAGCCACCTGTCTGGTGGGCTTTTTAACAAAGTCTCTACTGAATGAGGGGCGATTATGCACAAGTCCTGTCCCAGAGTTAATTTTTGGGCTTCTTTTACCAAAACAGCAGTTGCTGCGATAGCACGCACACATCCCGGCCAGCCAGAGGCTACTGGGTCCAATCTTTTAGATAAGTATGCCACCGGTCTATTCTAAGGTCCCAGTTTCTGAGTCAAGACTCCTTTTGCTATTCCTCGAGCCTCAGCCACGTACAACTGAAAAGGCTTAGTTAAATCAGGCAGTGTCAGCGCAGGAGCATTTACAAGCGCCTGCTTCAGGCTCTCAAAAGCCCTGGTTTCATTTTCAGTCCACTCTAGGGCTTCCCCTTTTCCCCCGGTGCTGGCATATAAAGGCTTTGCTATTTCAGCAAATTTGGGGATCCAAAGTCTGCAGTAACCTACAGCCCCTAGGAACTCCCGCACTTGTTTTTTCGTTTGGGGCTGTGGTATCCCTAAAATAGCCTGGATTCTGTCCATGGAGAGGATTCTCTTACCTTCTCTCAGTTTATATCCTAAATATGTCGCCACCGGGGTACACAGTTGAGCCTTCTGGGCCGAAACCCTATAACCTAATTGGGCCAATTCAACTAATAAGTCCTCAGTAGCCCTTCTGCAAGTCATTTTATCTTCCGCAGCCAGGAGGAGATCATCCACATATTGCAGGAGAGTCACCTGCAGATTCTTTTGTCTGAAATGGGCTAAATCTTGACTCAGTGCTTCATCGAACAATGTGGGTGAATTTTTAAAACCTTGTGGCAATCTGGTCCAGGTCAATTGCCCTGAATAACCCCCCTCTGGGTCAATCCATTCAAAAGCAAAAATAGATTGACTTACCGCGGCCAATGGGAGTGAAAAGAAGGCATCCTTTAAATCCAGGACGGTGTAGATCTGATGACTTGGAGGTAATAGACTCAGGAGAGTATATGGGTTAGGTACAGTGGGATGAACAGTCTCAACTCTCTTGTTTACCTCCCGCAGATCTTACACTGGTCGATAATCATCAGTTCCTGGCTTTTGAACAGGGAGCAAAGGAGTATTCCATGCAGACTGGCAAGGCACCAAAATTCCTACCTGCCTAAGTCTTGCTATATGAATAGCAATTCCCTTTCTTGCTTTCAAACTGATAGGGTACTGTCGAACACGAACCGGCGTAGCAGTGCTGGTCAGTTGAACAATGATGGGAGGTCGATGGGAGGCCAGACCAGGTAAATTAGTCTCAGCCCACACACCTGGGATTTTATGTTGAAGTTCCTGCAAATACCCATTCGGGCTGTGACTTGAGGGGGTTTCTTCAGTTAACAAATACTCTTCTGATAGGGGACAGGTAAGGAGCATGACAGAGGGGCCTTGACCAAATGAGAGTTCAGTCACATCTCCCTGAAAAGTTATAGTGGCCCTCAATTTTTGAAGCAGGTCTCTTCCGAGGAGAGGATATGGGCACTCAGGTATTACTAAAAAGGAGTAGGTGATCGTCCCCGCCCCCAAATTTGTTATTCGAGTTTTAGTCCATGGGTAAGATTTAGTCTTACCTGTAGCTCCTTATATGGGGATCTTCACATTCAACACAGGCCCTATGGCTTTTTGCAAAACAGAGTGTGTGGCCCCAGTATCAACCAGGAACTCTACTGGGGTGCCCCCAACATTTAAAGTTACCTTGGGCTCCTGGGGGCTCATTAGAATGGAGCCCCAGCCCCGTCATTCAGTTTCCTCCACGAGGACTGGAGTTGGCTGCGTCCCCCCTCGCATCTGCGGCCTGTGTGGGCAATCTTTCTTCCAATGTCCATATCCTTTACAATAGGCACATTGATCCGACCCCAGATCACTTCGGCCTTTCCTAGGATTTCTTGCATTTCTGTTGTTGCAGCCTGTCCCTTCTCGTAATTTCTGAGGCCACCCCATAGCAGCCACCAGTATCTTGGCCATCCTTTTAGACTGCACTGTACTGGAATCTTCTCGATTGTTATAAATCTTCTGAGCAATTTCTACCAATTCTGACAGCAGCTTCCCTTCAAATCCCTCTAACTTCTGCAGCTTCCTTCTAATATCAGGGGCCGACTGAGTGGCAAAGGCAATATTAATAGCCCGCCTGTTTTCAGGTGCTTCAGGATCTATAGGGGTATAGAGGCGGTAAGCCTCAAAGAGACGCTCCAAAAACGCCGCTGGGGCTTCATTCGGTCCCTGCACTGTCTCGCTTACCTTAGATAAATTAGTTGGCTTCTTGGCTGCCGCTCGTATACCCCTGAGCAGAGTCTGGCGATACTGATCGAGAGCCCCCTTACCTTCATTCTCATTAGGGTCCCAGTCAGGGCGCATAGAGGGAAATACACGTTCTATCCGGGCAGGATCAGTAGCTGGCTGTCCATCAGGACCGGGAATGGTCTTGGCAGCTTCCCTCCGGATTCTTTCTCTCTCCTCAGACGTGAAGAGAGCCTGCAAGAGCTGCTGACAATCGTCCCAGGTCGGCTGATGAGTAAAGAAAATTGTCTCCAAAAGAGATATCAACCCCTGTGGTTTCTCAGAGAAAGAAGGATTCTGGTTTTTCCAATTATACAAGTCGCTAGTGGAAAAAGGGACATAAATCATAAAAGGAGGACGGTCCAATCCAGGACTCATAGGTGCCTGTCGCAAAGGAAGAATAGGGGCTGGAGCTTCAGCCGTGGGGCTGGGTGCCGGCTGATATTGGGAACCACTGCGAGTGTGTGCCGGGCTAGCTGAGTCAGTGGGGCTCTGAGGCTCCGTATCAGAGTCCCCCGGCGTTCGAGAGGGAGCAGTGACATAAGGGGGGGGTTCCTCCAGGAGGGGGTCCTCCTCAAGTCCCGTGAGCACTGGATACAGCTTGCGTTCCGCCTGTCTCCCCTTCTGCCCATCTACCACCTTCGATACCATAACTGCCTTTGGTGGATAGGCCCTCTTTTTACAATTTCGTAACCACCTGGGATTATCTGCTAGTATATCACTCCAAATCTGAATATAAGGAATTTGATCCGGGTGCCCCGGGTTCCCAAAGATCACAGCCTGCACCCGATTTGCCAATGGAATTTGAGTACTGCCCTCTGGTGGCCAGCCCACACCGAAGGTCGGCCACTCTTGTTCACAGAATTTCTGTAAATCAAAAGAATTAACAGTAAAACCGTAAGGTCGTGCTCTTCGCTGAAAATCCTGAAAATTCTTCAGAAAACATTCAAGAGGTGTACAGCTGACGCACTCTGCCCGGGATGCCGCCTGTCCCATCGTCCCCTATTGACAGGGTGAAAAAAACAAAAAAGAAGAAAACAAAAGAGAACTACTTACACTTGTACTTGGAGGCGGACCCCAAATCTTTGTTGCAGGTATTGTAGATATGCTCTACCACTGGAAGTTAACAATAGCCGTTTTTGACAAGAATAACAAGCATTTGGACAAATATTAGGTAGCCACTGTGGGGGTCCCGGATGAGGTCGTGTTGGAGTGGCTTCCCAGGCCCAGTACCTGCGTATATCTAAAGCAGGATTCCCAGCTATAGAAACACTCGTTTCCTGGAATCCCATCAGGATGTCAAAACCACAGACCACACAAAACACCACATAACAGACATACACTTAACATAAAACAAAACCAGAAGCCATATAACAGACATACATAAAACAAAACCAGAAGCTCACAGGTGACGTCTCACCCCTTAGAGCCACAGACCCTGGGAGTCAGCTGCGTCCAGCCTCCCATGGGTAATCAGAAGGGCCCACAGACCAGAACAAAACACAACTCACCGGTGCAGAAAAACAGAAGACTCGTCCCACAATCTTTTGGGTATTTTAAGGTGCTCGCTGCCAGCGCGCAGCCAGGTTTCCCCCGGGGCTGAGGAGAGAAGTCCTCCTCAGGAGCTCCCCCCTGGCTTAGGAACCTGACCATGCACCTGACCCCCAAGCACCAGTGGTCAGCAGATGCCCTATTACAGGGCGGTATCTCGCTGGGGCCTCCAAATGTTGTAGTGTGGAGGGCGCGAACAGACCACAGGAGAATTCAATGAAGCCAAATCGAGAGTCTTTATTAGCTGGCCAGTGACCACCTCCGCCTGCATAAAAGCAGTACGAGAGGATGGCACCATCTCAAGTTTCTACGAGGGTTTTATACTATTTTTGAGGGAGGCTACGTGACATAGGGCAGGTGTTCAGGGAACCAAAGCGGGGAGTAGAGTCTGGGTTGCGAGATACAAGGTCACAGGACATAGTTGCCCTCACAGATCTCTGGCGCCCGAAGGCAGATTACAATCCTCAAAGCAAGCTGCAAGCAGGGTTACAGAAGCAGATGGCAGTCATTAGACAAAAGACTATTCTTTCAGTCTAGGCAGTCTAGCAACACTTCAACTATGTAGCCATAATTTAGCCAGCCCCTGGCGCACTGTTTATTTCATTTATTAACCCCTTATTGTAAAGCTCTCAGCTCACCACACACTACCAGGTTTCCTCCCTTGCAATCCTTCCCTGGGCCTCCTTCCCTACAACTTCCTCCCCCCAGTCCCACAGCTGCAGCTCTCATAAAGCACCTGTAGCAATTAGTGTACCAGGTTGTGAAGTAGCTTAGGACTTTGCCCCACTAAAGTTAACCCTGTTGTAACCGTGCCCCTCCTCCTTAAAGCGGAGTGTATGAAAGACTGCTATGCTCTTTGTCTGGTGCTCAGAATTTGGAGAGAGCAAATTCCCCTCTGGGCCTTGCCGGCCGGTGTGGAATAAAAACCTGTTTTGCCAATACTTCTGTGTGCATCTTGGTTTGTTCTCAGTCAGCCCTGCTGTAACAATAAAAGACAGCAGGATTCTTGTATTTGTTTCTGCGTGCAATCTGTTGCAATGATAACTGTCATGTGAAAATGAAAGTGAAAAAGAAAAATGAGTTTTGAGATTATTGTAAAAATAATTTTAGCCTCATAGACCCACTAAAAGAGTCCCAGGGACCTTCAGTGTTCCCCAGGCCACATTTTAAGAATCACTGCAATTGTTTCAATTATGGCAATCGCTGCTTTTAGTACCAAAAAAAAAAGTAATCATTTCATTTATTTATTTAGTTGCCAAATTGTTGGTGGCACTATTGGGGATGGCTATGGCAGAAGCTGATGCAGAGGATAAATGGAGAATGTCATGGAAATTAGAGCTTGGATTCCCAGCAATGTCAGCCATTAAAATGAAACATACTCTCCTGAAATGACTTTCAGTGAAGAAAGCATCATTCCCAGGGAGCTCTCTTTTGAGCCTTGATCCATAGCATTGTAGGAGGTGGAGCTTTCCCCCATGTAAATACACCATAACCTTAAGAGTGCATGGATGGGGGCTTCCTTGGGAGCGTGATGCTGATCTCAGAGATGTAAGGCACAATAACCTGGAAAAAGATGAATTGTAGACACACAGTGTAAACTTGTTCAGCTCATCACGGTATTTGTTCTAATTGATTATCATTATGGATTCCTGGCTTTTTATATACTGACGCTATTCCAGTGGACAACTGCAATTGTTCTGTTTAATTATAATTCTCAAATTACCAGTACTTACACAGTGGGGATTCTTTCAGGCTTTCTTGATTTTCTGTACCCTAACTTTTTTTTATTGCTTCTCCAGACATCTGAGATCTTCCTCACTTTCAGGCAGCATGATGTCCTACACCCATCAGGATTTCTTTTGCCCCCAAATTTGTAATCAGGTACTCTTTAAGAAATTGGGGTTCTTCAGGAGAGAATGAAATCTCCATACTAGGGTTTATGTTAGGTCGCTCTGTGTGAGCACTAATGCATCTGACTGACTAGAGGGACTTTGAGACCACTTTAATGACAGATTAAAAACACTGTCTTTAAAAGCTAAGTGCATGTTACTCCTTTCACTGAAAATCCCTTATCTAGTTCTAAAACAAAAGTTTTTTTTAAAAAAACCTAACTCACTTTTCTTTGTGGCTTAAAAGCTTCATTCTTCTGTGTCATATTAAATATTCTCTTACCACAGTTAATTTACCATATTTTGGGTTGTTAATCTAAGTAATGTATTTAAAACACAATATTATTTAAAATTTTAGAAAGCACAGAAGAGATTCTTATCCAGATATATATGAAAAGAATACCCATAACACATTAGTGATTTTAATATTCTACATTGAGTTTTTGAAACAATTAATATACCTCATAGCTAATAAATATAAGGATGCTGTTACTATGCTTTCGTGTTGCAATTTATACTTCCAAATGTTTCTCCTAGTCATTATTATCTGTATAGCAGTTATTTGAGAAGAAAATGGAATTTTGATTTTTCTAACACTCCAAGAGGACACCAAAAAATACAAAGGCGTTGACTGTCTAGTTTCTGATTATTCCATTAATTCTATTAAATGTAATATAAACAACATATTTATTATATATATGTATAAAGTATCTTTTGGCTCATGAAATATGTAGCTAAAGCCTCGAAGGATTGGACCTATTTGTATTCTCTGTTTCACTGCTGTACCATGAGCATGAAATAATGTGGCCAAATACAAATACCTTAAGACGTACAGAATACCTTAATATACTACCAGTGTATTTTCAAGGTGTCAATTTAAGATGTTGGAAAAAATAACTAAATTCAGATCAAGCTGCATTGCAATCGAATTAATATGACAAATTAGTTTTGAAAGCCCAGTATTACACTCATACAACGTTACCTCCAAAATTTGAGTGGAATTATTTATATAGTTCTATATTCTCTTTTTGTAAAATTTTTCAAGTCATTATTCTATTGCAAAGTTCTATTTCTCAAAACATCATTTCACAAGAACCAACTAGTAAAAGATACTGTTATATTTAGATTACAATGTACTTTAGGTGCAACTACATATTCACATCACATATACATACTCCTAACATTAATTGAGGTAATTGAAATATAACTTCATAGTTGTTTTTTTTCCTTAGACAAGTCTAGGGTGTTTAGATAGTTATCATTGTGGAACATCTTAGTTTTAGGCAAAACCTAAATTTTTGTAGGCATATGCCATGCCTGTACTCTCAGTTTTATATTCTGTATTAATTCTACTATTAAAGCAGACATGATACAAAAAGTCATTTTTAAAGAATTAAAAAACACACAAAAGCCTTCATTTATTAATGGATATTTTCCTTCATTCTAAACATTTCAAGAAATCTTCTGGGAAATAGTTTGTCTCCATGTTTTATTATAAAATACATAAAAATTATTCCTTTTAAAGTAGTATCGAATATAAAATTTCAGAAATTTGGGATTATATATCACTTAGGAAAAAAAATACAATTTCCAGGAAGATAAAGGCCATACCTATTCAGCTTTGAATGTGAGGTCTTAAGAAAAGAGTCAAAGAAATTTCTCCCTTGCCCTCATCTCAAGACCTGAGATTGAGCGACTTTTATGGCGAACCACTCATTTATGTCTTGAGCATATTGCAAATTAAACATAGTAGATCACCTATATATATTTTCATATGTAGTTTAGACAAATGGCATGAAGTGGTTAATTGATAGAATAGTGTATTTTTTTGTTTTTGAGTAACAAGGTGTTTCAGAAGTTTACTAGCTAAATAGCTAAGAAATACATAAACAACTATATGTTGCATTATCTTTGTCTTTTAATTCTTGTTCATTACAGTGATGGCAATCCATAATGTTACTTAATTGTTATTTATTCCTTTCATAAGAATGTTACTCTAGCTTTTCAAATAATTAAAAGAGAGCCCTGGAAAGTTCCATACACGTGTCTATAAATCTGTTATTGTTTTTACTTCCTATCATTTTTAAAGGTTTTAAAATCTAATCTTTCCCTTTTTTAGTTCCCTTTATGTAAAATTCAATTATGCTCTGTAGGAAACATTTCCTCCATTTTAGGATCTTGGCAGTTATCCTCTTAGCAATGGTGACAGTCAAAACAGAAGGCTTCATGCCTGTAATCCCAGTACTTTGGGAGGTTGATTTGGGAGGATCACTTGAGGCCAGGAGTTCCAGACCAACCTGGGCAACACAGTGAGACCTCATCTCTACAAAAAATTAAAAAATAAACAAACAAATAAAAAAACTAGTCAGGTAAGGTGGTGCGCACCTGCAGTCCTAGCTACTAAGGAGGCTGAGACAGGAGGATTGCTTGATCCCAGGAGTTCAAGGTTACAGTGAGCTATGCAATCTCACTTTCTCTCCATTGACACCTCCGTCCTCTCTCCTGGTTATTGTAGTAGCTTCTACCTGGTATGCCTGATCCCATTCTAATGCTCCTGCAGTCTATCCTCCCCTCAGCAGCCAGAGATCCTTCTTAAAGCTTTAGTCAAATTAATACACTTAGAATCCCAATGTTTTCTCACAGATTTTCCTAATTTCTCCATCAAAAATAATTCCTTCTCTCTGGTGTATCTTTGGCTGAGGCACTTATCTTATTCTTCCTTTTACCAGTGGGGATTCTTACTTGCAGGGGTGGGATAATTAGTTCCCATAGTCTATCTCCAATCACTACCTACCATTGTTCTTTGCACTTTCAGGCCCTTAATAAATCCTTGCTAAGTGTAATCATTCATATTCATTGACCCCCTTGGAATACCTACCTGTATGTTCAACTCTGTAAGAGTTGATAGAAATTTTGTATTATTACTCAAGTCTGGAAAATTTTCCTTGTGTTTGATTTTGTTTCATTTTGCTTTTTGGTACCACACATCCGTTTTACTTCATGCAGCCTCCCAACAGAAAACACCTTTACAATTTGGTGACAGTATTAAAAAAGAGAAACTTCTGAAACAGAAGTTAAAAAAATTGGGAAATGGATAAACTGGTCATCTGCAGAAGTAACAGACATTTGAGATGGTATGGAAATTTATGGCTGATGAGATTTAGGTGTTTTCCTCATCAAGCAATTAAAATTTAATTCCAGTAAGTTGTGATCACACTAACTTAAGGTGCTCAATAAAATGTCATAACTGTGTAAAATCTAGGAATCAGTGAAAAAGAATTAGGCTTCGTCAGCATGGTTCTTACAATCTCTGTGGAATGGAGCATTCTGTTTCCAATGATGAAAACATAATTTTTCCTAGGCTGGACAACGGTCATTTATACAGGTGACATAGCTTGAAAAATGTTCTTTAGGATCAGATTCTCTCATATATTTCTATGTTCCAATCAGTTCCTTTCTGTTCAGTAAATTGTTCTTTAGGGAAAAAATATTGACAAAAAATTACTTGGGGCAAATCATGTGGATTCTTAAAGCTACAATATATAAGTTCCAGGGTAAAATAATAAAGTGATAATGTGGTTTGGATTAGCTCTGATCCATTTCCTATGGCCGATCAGCAATGTCATAAGTTCATCAAGATTGTTTCAGCAATAGAGGGTTATATGCTTTGCTCACCAATGTGCAAATAACTCACAAGATCTAGCTTTGAGTTCTTCTCTTTCTCTGTTTTAAGAATTTTAACTTTCTATATAATGGAGACTTATGGACCTGATATGTGAACCTTGTTTAGAGGTGCTAAAATTTCTTCTGCATCTTCTATCCATTATCCACACAGATTTTTGGCACCCCTTCTTATATTCTTCTAGACATTTTCTTCCCTGCTGACAATACCAAGTCATTCAAGCAGTTCCTGAGAACCAAAATTTACATAGAGATATATGGGTATAGATATATAGACATATATGTATATATTTTTTCTCTGTGTGTTTTTAACAACCAGTAGCTTCTGTAATTTTTATCCTAGCCTAGAGAATGTGTTTAGTTAACTTAATCCCTCCAAATCCACCTCTCATTTTCTCTCCTGGATTTTATCTTCTGATTCCCTCATTCTGTCATACAAAACAATACAAAAATTTGCTACTGATTATCTGTATTAATTAATGAAGAGGATCCAAAGCATCTGTGCTATGAAAAGTCATGACGACAAAACCCAAATGTGTGGTGAATTTGCTATCCTCAAATACCCTGGAGCTGAGATAGTGGGAGAAGAGAAGATACATAAATGGAAAAAAGCATAATCTCTGTTCTAACAGTATTGAGAGAGATACAGAACATATACACATACACATACATAACATATATCAACATACGCACATGCATACACATACACAGAACCTCCACAGAGATGTTAAAAGATTTCGTGGGAAGCTGAGTAGATTGAGGTTTATAAGAGCTTGAGGAGGTGAAGGAAGACAAAGCTCAGCTAGGCCCTAATAGGGAGGGCTTCAGAGAGTAACTGAGACTTGAGTGGATTTTGGAGGATAAATTAGGATTTAGATAGGTGGAGAAGCAGTGAAGGAAGAACCATTAATTAACTGGACTTATGAAGTATGAATTCTATCCATTCTGTGCTAAAGGCAGATTCAATATATCAAATAATGTGAAGAAACCAACTGAAATGAAGGCCCATCAGGATCCTCCAAGCATTTCCTGGGAATCAAGATTCTTAGTTAAGGAGTCTTAGTCTACAGACTCAGGAACGAGGATATCTAGAGATTGGTTGGTGACTCTTAATTTTAGCCAAAACCTTGAATTCTCCAAGTCCATGGGCCGTTTTAATGGCCTCTGTCAGTCTTCTTTTTCTTTTCCTCCTCTCTACAATAAATCAATAATATTTAGAGAAACACTGTTGGGTTTGGGTTTCTCATTTATGTTTTCCTTTATGACAAATTATATAATGCTTGGAACTTGTTTTTATATAAGAACTTTTTCACTCTCTATTATATTTTTCAATATAGTATTTGATACATAAAAATAATATGTGTAACATATAAAGTATACAGCAAATTATATCAAACACCCAAATTATATCAAACACACTAAACTTCTTACCCCAAACCCTTGTCCTACCTTCAATACTGAGGTACCACTGACTGATATTTTTAGAAGCTGTCTCTTAAAAATAGTTTTATTATCATACATGTGTTTCTGTATACACTTAAACAACATATGAGATTTTTTGAACTTTATAAAATGGTGTAATATATGAACCTTCTGAGACTTCTGTTCCTGAAATTCAAGTGTGTACTGTGTAGTTTATTTTCTCTGTATATTTCATAATATGAATGAATCTCAATAAATGTATTTATTCTTTTGACTGTGAACATTTGACTGCTTCTAGTGTTTCGATATTAAACAATAGCATTGTTCCATTCTTGTATGTCTCCTGTCGCGTGTGTAAAATACTCTCTCATGTAAACACCTAAAAGTCAAATTGTTGGGTCACCGGAATACCCTAATTGGATGAAAGATGTCAAAAACCTTCAGCAAATACAACTCAATATTAAAGAGTTCCAACAGCTGATTGCTGGCAAAGACCAAAATAGTGTTAAATATGCCATTTAGAGGCTTAACATGGAGAAACTGATTTTGATTTCCTGAGTTGCGGGTTGAGGGAAAGTGGGAACAGCCTTCTCGTTCTCTTTTTAAATTTCTTCCAGTTAATAAATAGTAAATGCAAGTGACACAGAGAGAAAGAAAATAAGGAACAGACCCTAACAGGAAAGACAGGAAGTAGAAACTAATCCTTTTCATAAAGAGGCATTACACTCAAGAGAAATAAGGGAGTGGATAAAATGACAGGGTTCCTCTCACAAACCCACTGGCCAGAATTTTCCCAATTAAAACAGACTCACAAAGAGAAACCAGTGGTGAACTTTCAAATTGCCCGCGCAGCGTCTGGATTGGCCAATGACACAAACTCGGCCTCTGATTGACGCGGACGATATTTTGAATTGGGTTCGGACTTTTTTTTTCTTCTGCCTATCTTAATATTTGCCAAAACCAAACTCCGGGACAGGGCAGGAGAAACAGCACCACACCCAAAAAAAAGTGAGGCGATCTGTTCGTTTCTCTGTGTGTCTAGATTCATTAGTAAAGTACACACGAAAATGAAGGATAGAGAGCCTAAGTTATTTTACCAGTTTGACGTGTATAAAGATGAGTGGATTTTGTTTTGGGATAAAGGGCATTGAATTTTTCCTTTACTAGGTTTGTCTGATGATAAACCTGATCTTTCCTGATATAAATCCATGTAAACTTGTCTTGAGCGTCGCTGCGGCATGCAGTACATTGCAATGCAAAGTAATTTCCTAACAAGCCCAAAATAAGGAAACTCGTAAATTGTTCTTTGTAGCAAACTAGAGATACCCGCTGTAAGAAAAGTGAAAACTGAGTGCTTGCTCTCTTTGGAAGACTGAGTGGCTCTGAAAAGAGCCTTTGGGGTGCGGGCAGAGACTGACCGATTGTTATGCGGCTTGCGGGCTCACTTGGAGCTGGTATACTTGGTGACAGCCTTGGTGCCCTCGGACACGGCGTGCTTGGCCAGCTCTCCCGGCAGCAGCAGGCGCACCCCCGTCTGGATCTCCCTGGAGGTGATGGTTGAGCGCTTGTTGTAATGCGCCAGGCGAGAGGCCTCGCCGGCGATGCGCTCGAAGATGTCGTTGACGAAGGAATTCATGATGCCCATGGCCTTGGATGAGATACCGGTGTCGGGGTGGACCTGCTTCAGCACCTTGTACACGTAAACGGAGTAGCTCTCCTTGCGGCTGCGTTTGCGCTTCTTCCCGTCCTTCTTCTGGGCCTTGGTCACAGCCTTCTTAGAGCCCTTCTTCGGGGCAGGAGCGGACTTTGAGGGCTCAGGCATGGTCAGGAGTAACCGTTGAGAAGCTCGAGAACAGGAACATGTGTAGGCCGGTAAACGTCCTCTTTAGTCACAGCTCCTTGAGCAAGAAAGGAAATGAGTGAAGTTGTCTGATTAGTGGTGAGTCCAGGAAACGTCATATGTTAACTTTGTCCAATCAAAATAAGTGTATTTCAAAACAACAATTCCATTGGTCTAAGAGCAACTGTATTTTTAGCCAATGGCATAGCTTCGTTTTTGCGCTCCGTGATGACTATAAGTGGCGCAGCTCTCCTTAACTCACTTTAGGTTGTACTGAGGCCGGCGATCTCGGTGTCATGTCTGGACGCGGCAAGCAGGGCGGTAAGACTCGCGCCAAAGCCAAGACCCGTTCCTCCCGGGCGGGGCTCCAGTTTCCCGTGGGCCGAGTGCACCGCCTGCTCCGCAAGGGCAATTATGCTGAGCGGGTCGGGGCTGGCGCCCCCGTGTACCTGGCGGCGGTGCTGGAGTATCTGACCGCGGAGATCCTGGAACTGGCGGGCAACGCAGCTCGCGATAACAAGAAGACACGTATCATCCCGCGCCATTTACAGTTGGCCATCCGTAACGACGAGGAGCTCAACAAGCTGCTGGGCAAAGTCACCATCGCTCAGGGCGGCGTCCTGCCCAACATCCAGGCGGTGCTGCTTCCCAAGAAAACTGAGAGTCACCATAAAGCCAAGGGCAAGTAGAGGTCTAGAACAGTTTGCTTCTCATAGCTTTTATCCAAATCAAAAGGTTCTTTTCAGAGCCACTTACTTTTTCTCAAGGAGGAGCTGTGCTCAACATTATTCAATAGTTGAATCAGTTTGCAATGGTTTCCCTTCTTCTTTTAGCACAATACCTTCATGACACTTAAATGTTTTTTTTTCTTTAATGTTTTTCTTTTGCAGCTTAAGTATGAAAAGCGAAGCAAAACCAAAGAGCCTTTGAAGTCACATTGTTTTGGAGTAGCCAGGGGACATTGAAATGTTGGCTAGTCCTATTGATATAACAAAGTTTTAGTGTCAGAATTTTTTTCAGAGTTCCTGAATTCCAGCTTGTAAAGAAATTTGCTTCTTGCTTGTGAGTATAGTTTATGCTTAATAAAACCAGGAGAATAAAATTTGGGTATCCCTGTGACCCTTGAGAGTAAATTAAGGGTCCTGAATTCTAATTCAACTCAACCTTAACTGAGCATCTATGGTGTGTAAGGCACCCTCCTAGATGGAAATACAGTATAAATAGCTAAAGTCTATATCTAAAAGGAGTTTCAGGTTGGCCTCAGTGAGTAATTTTATAATGGATTGTCTAAGTAAATGACGGTGAAGTAAAGATGGTGTGGGATTACATTAGGAAGAACATGTTACTTAAAGACATGAATGGTGGACCTTGTAGATCAAGTTCTTTACCTTCCTCTATCAGTCATATAATCCTATTGATGTCAATTTTTACTGCTCGCTTTTCACTATAATTCACTCCCTCCTCAGATCACCATGTCACCTTAGCAAGAGAGGGCCTTCTATTCTTCACATAATGAGTACATCATTAGCTAATGCCTCGTTTTACTCATGAAGACATGTTAAAACGAATTTCTACAGGCATTTCTTGTCCATTGGAATCAATTTTCTGAGTCTCTTGAAACATTTGCATTTACTAGATTTAAATCTCAATTGCAATCACAATGCAAATAACATTCCTTGGAATAAAACAGCAATCAAAGGTGTGTGTCACTGACCTCCATTAATTGAGACAAGGCCTCACACTGTCCCCAGGCTGTAGTGCAGTGTGGCACAATCAGCTCAGTGTAACCTCAAACTCCTGGGCTCCAGCAATCCTGCCTTGGCCTCCCAAAGACCTAGGATTACAGGCATGAGCCACTGTGCCTGGCCTCCTTGCCTCCATTAATTCTTACAATAACTTTTTTTTTCCGTTTTTTTTTTTTTGAGACAGAGTCTCCTCTGTCACCCTCGCTAGAGTGCAATGGTGTCATCATAGCTCATTGCAACCTGAAACTCCTAGGCTCAAGCGATACTCCTGCCTCAGCCTCCAGTGTAGCTGGGACTACAGGCGCCGGTCACTATGCTCAGCAAAGTTTTGATTTTTTTATAGAGAAGGGTCTCACTCTTGCTCAGGCTGGTCTCCAACTCCTGACCTCAAGCGATTCTACTGCTTTGGCCTCCCAGAGTGCTAAGATTACAGGAGTTTACAGTAACTAGTGAGGTAAGTACTGTAGGGACCAAGGGAAAACTTTTCCTTCACCCTCTGGAGATTCAATAAAAATCAACCAACAAAAGGCAGATTAATAGGAATAATGGTATACAAATTTCTTAATGTGCACAGGGAAGAATCACAAAGTCATTATACCAATCTCCTAATTGGGCACAGAAGTTTATATACCCTTTTTCATAGGGGAAGAAGGAGACGGGGAAGGTAGGTACTAATCATTTATTACCCCTTAAAAGAAGGAGTAATAAATGATTAGTGGGGAGAATAAATGGACCACAAAGACAAATTAACTTGTAAATAATTCTCTTTGTAATTTAAATGAGCTAAAGGCAAGCATCAGCTTGTGGAAAAGTCTATCCAGGTGTGGTTGCATTTTTTCAGTCTTCCTTTCCCACAAATGTTACTAGATAATGAGGTAATAGGGAGGGGATAGAAGGTAATTGTGCTTTAACCAGTTTTTAAAAACCACTTTCTTGGTCAGATGAGGAAATTCCAGACACAGTCCTGCCCTGCATTTGGGGGCTGGGGGAACTAGGTTAGAGGGACCTTTCTTCTGAGGCTTATTTCTGACGGCTTTCAATTTTCAAAAGCAATCAGCATGCCCCAATGCCATATCTGGGGGAAGCATTTTCTGCACCCAAACTGTAATGTAACTACCCTAATCTCACTTAATAGATAAGCAAAAATTTAGATAGCACAAGCAAGTAAACCGAAGTCCAGTCAGCAAAGAAGATTCAATTTAAAACCAGATATTCCTAACTCCAGAGTTTCAGCTCGTAACCACTTTCTAAAACAAATAAATGAAGAATAAGGGGTTTCAGTAGGACAGTTGTAGGAACTTTATAATTTCATTAGTGTTAAAAAGAATTTCAGAGTATAACCCTGTATTTGTTTAAAAAAAAAAAAGAAGAAAGAAAAATATATGCAAAGAAGATTATCCCATATTAAATATTGTTGAAAACCACATCTTTAGTTGGGTCATTAAAAAAAGCCTTTTAAAAACCTAAAAACACCAACTTTCTGGTTATAAGAAGTTCTTTTAAGGATTTTAATCCTATACCAAGTAATTTATAAATTTAATGCAATTATGATCAAAATCTCAAAGAAGTTTCATTCAAACTTTACAAAATTATTCTAAAGTTGCCTAGAAAAGAAATCTTAGTGAAACTAGATTAGGAAATTTGGAAAAGAAAGAATGAGGTGAACTGCAATACAAATTGTGAGACCTCTAATAACAGCTAAATTTTTAAATTTTAATGTAATAAAAAATAGAAATTTCAGTATTGGTCCCAAATATACTGAAGTACATTTATGTTAATTGTGCAAAAGATGTTATTTTAAAAATCTGATAAATTACTAGGGAATTGGTTAACACTGTCATGAAAATTTATAAGAAAGGTAGACATTAAAAATAACTTTTTTCTCTTTAAATAAGAGAAATTAAAATGTAATCATTGTAAAGAGGTTACAAATGGAAAATGTGCATTCATCTACTAACCAAACTATTATCAGCTAGCAGTGATGATCTCTTTGTGATAACAAGTCACTTTATTGTTTGTCCTTTTTTGTGTATTTTCTACAATATTAATGTTTTCTTTTGCATTCAAAAGCCATTTGTTTTTTTAAAGCCGTAAAACGTAATAACAGAACAGTTGTTACATTACAAAACTCAGAAGAAGCAGCTCGGGTTTTTTTTCCACTAGATTTTTCCCTCCCCCACTAGGGGGCGGGCCTTCCTGCCTCCTTTTAGGTTCTCAATTTGGTCCGCCAGAGACGTATAAAGGGCTGCCTCAGGCCAGCGTCCTCACAACGCGTTTTGCCAGTTTCGTGGTTCTTCGCTCAGTCATCATGTCTGGTCGAGGCAAGGGCGGGAAGGGTCTTGGCAAAGGCGGAGCCAAGCGCCACCGCAAGGTTCTGCGCGACAACATCCAGGGCATCACCAAGCCCGCAATCCGGCGCTTGGCCCGCCGTGGCGGAGTTAAGCGCATCTCCGGTCTCATCTACGAGGAGACTCGCGGGGTGCTCAAGGTGTTCCTGGAGAACGTAATCCGCGACGCTGTCACCTACACCGAGCACGCTAAGCGGAAGACGGTCACCGCCATGGACGTGGTCTACGCGCTCAAGCGCCAGGGTCGCACTCTCTACGGCTTTGGCGGCTGAGTGCATTTGTCTTCGTTCCCAACATAAAGGCCCTTTTCAGGGCCACCCATTTTGTCAGCAAAGTAGCTGTCACACTTGGTTGTTTCTCTAGTTCCTGTGTTCCTTTCTGCGCGTGCTCAGTTTGCATTTCTTTTTGCGCATGCGTTTCCAGTGACAAATCAGGTAAGAATTTTTGTTGCCAATTACTAGTCCGCAAAGGCTAAACCCGCCCTTGAGTTTAATACTGTTGGGTTTTAGTAAGCCTTACTTGACAGTGGAAAAGTAAGAAAATAGAGAGTTCTGGCCTAGCCACAATAAAAGGTTATTAAGTGTGACCTAGAGCTAATGCAGCATGAAATAAATAGGCTTTTAATGATACTTTAGTTACGTGTATGCTGCACAAAATGATGGAAGGGACACCCCTCTCGCGGTTCAAGAAACGTGGGTTATTCAACATATTTGAGGCCTTAACATTTGGCTACGTATTGGTGACATCTGTTCTGGCGCTCTGTTTAAGAAACAACGCATGGTAGTTTCCCAGACTTACTGGTGAACTGTAGTTAATGACCACATTTCTTCTTTGATAAACCAAACGTCCTCGGCTCCTTGCTCCAGTTCTAATTAGCACACTAGGAGTCTGGAAAGCTAGTAGAGTACTTAGAAACTAACTGCAGGTGATTTCCCACGGAACAGTTGGTGAGGATAGGATGCAATTAAAAGGCTTTTCAACTAAATTATAAGGCATTACAGAAGTGTTCTACAGGATGAAAAAATATTTACAACGTAAGCCTCCAACTCAGGAGGACTACTGAAAAGTGTCCCTTAGTACAGGGTGGAAAAGGGATTAAACGATAGTAGGAAATATACCCAGATCTAACTTCAAAAGCGGTTCTAGCCCTCTTACTTAGGTCTTAGATGCTATAGAGAAAAACCCAGAGCCAAAGGTGATTTTGTTTTTAGTTATATTTCCCCAACACCTTCTGAGAGTCTGTGGCTTTCTATTGATTTCTTGAATAATTTTGACGAAAATGTTAGTTCTTTTAAAAAGCTAAGTGTATTGTGCATAATTTAACTGTGACTTTTATAACTAATATTTTAATATTTGTCTTTAGAAGTCTGACATAAGTTCGTATCTTCTCGTAACAAAACAGGTAACAAATATAAGCAAACATTTTTGGTGTTATCTTTTTCAATTCAAGGTCCCAGATTTTGAGTAATGAAACTGTTAACATGTTACTTATATCTAAACTATTTTTGGAGTTTCCCAACTGACCACTAGATTACACATATTTGTTTTGTCATTTTATAAGAGAAGACATAATTTGTTTGTACTTAGTCACACACAAATGTGAGAACTGTTCTGTTATATATTGCACAATATGAAAAAAGAGCAAATCAAAAAAGGAAATTATCCATCCCTAAGTTAACCAGATAAAATATATTTAATAGGCTGGGTGTAGTGGCTCATGTCTGTAATACCAGTACTTTGGGAGGCTGAGGCAGGGGTATTGCTTGAGGCAATATAGCAAGACAAAAAATAAAAAAATTAGCCAGGCAAAGATGAATAGAAAGTCTAGCACAAAACTGCCAACAAACTGATCTTCCTAGGTATAAATGCGCTTGTTATTTGGTGGTAATAAACACAAATACTTTATGTGATATATAAGTAGGCCTTAGAGGTTTTTCAGTGTCCTCACTATTGATAGTATGATACCTAAATAAAGGATTCTATTCTTCCCTATACTGAAAATGTTGATTAATAAATAAGCCAGATGTGTTATCTTATCAACAGATGGTCTCGTTTTTCCATACAATTATCTGAAGGCTCCTGCTACACAACACAGGAGTTGAGTTTTCCAGCAGCATCAAAATAACTTTAAGAAAGGATTGTGCCAGTTACCTGTCATACTCAACTACAGTATATACTAAATATTCTTGATTTAATATTTTCCAGGGCATAATAGAAGCAACCTGCTTCACTCAGGATCAAGAAAGCAAAAATTAATTACTTAGGACTGAATGAACTAATTTGTGGCTAAAGTTCCTTTACTAATGTGTTCTTAACAATACTTGAAGTTGCTATCTTTTTCAAACTGCCTTCTCAAATTTTAGAAAAATATTCTAAACATCTTCTGATAAGTTGTTAGGAATACTTAGGAATAATGACTCCGTAGAAAATATATGATATATATTGATTGGCCCTTTCTACAAAACGACGTGAAAAAGTGATTGGATATTATACAAAATTCTTTTACTAAGTCCTATTACTTTTCACAGGGATGCAATTTTTAACATAGACTAATCAATCCTTAAAACAAGCAAGGCTTTTTATCTTTTCATAACTATATCATTAAAACAGATCAAGTTGAACAAAAGATAAAATTTGAAATATTCTATTATAAAATACCTGTCCAAAGTTCTGATTATATTTGATAAAATTCTTAGTCTTGGTTTCCTGACATTCTGAAATATTTATTTCTTGTACTACTTGAGACTATTCAGTTCAGCTGGAGAACTGTGATGGATGAAACTATGCGTTCAGTATAAACAGTAAGTAGAGCATGTGTGATTAAATATATAAAGGAATAAAGGACCAAGAGATAGATAATATTCATGAGGCACTATTCATACATGATATACCTGGATACTAAATATGCATGAGGTACATGAGACACTAAATATTCATAATATATTAAATATACTTGACCCGTGTGGTGCCTTAATTCAGTCTCTCTGGTGATATCCATTCTGGCCCCATATATCCTTTGTTCAAGAAACACGAAAAACTCCATGGCTATTCAGAAGGCTATGGTGAGCAACAGTTGTGACCAGGCATGTTTGTCTCTCCTCCTCAATAGAGTGAGTGCTTGTCATCAGCCCTGAATACTTAGCATTTGTGGGCCTCCTTGCCCAAACCTGGACCCTGGTCGTCATAACCATAAGCACATTATCAGTGAAGAAGGCTGGTGCAGCACTGAAACAGATAAAATATATGAACATTGTATAATCTGTGATTCAGCTACTGTGGTCCACCTCCTTGCACCCTCATCCTAAATGTTAACTTACTTCATTTCTTTCCCCTTGCTGCATGTTTAAATTGATTTAATAAACCATCCCCCACACTTTAATTTGGTCTGAGTATTTTTGTACCACAGGAGAGTTTGCCTAGTAGAGTATTTGCAGGCTGCCAGGAGGTCAAGGTAACTTCCTACAGGACAGTGGAGAGCCAGGAAAACATTAAGGAGGCTGAAGCCAGTAATCTGGAGATGATAGTCACTCATACAGGGCAGTAGCCTGGAGGTATTGAGAATTGGTCAGTGTCTGTATGCATCTTGAAGGCAAGCCAAGAAAGATTCTTAGGGAGTTGAATATAAGTATGAAAAAAGACAAGGATAAAGGTATTATCAACTGAATGGAGTTTTTTAATGGAAGAGGATTGAAAAGGGGATTATATATGGTACTTCTTAGAGCATTGAGTTATGATACTTTTTTCTACTTGTTCAGGTTTGGAGTAAATAAAAATTATGGCTTCTTTTTAGGGATTTTCCCAGTATAGTTGGAGAGGAAAGCCAAGCAGTTGTCCTAGGTTTCTGGTGTCTTGACTCCAACTGTTGAACCTAGCAAATGTTTATAGCACGATCTTTTTATGCAACAACCTTTAATCCATTAACCATAGATAAATTAAACCTGTGAGTTTTGACCTACATCCTCTCTTGGGAGAAAATAAGAATTTGAATTCCTGGATAGGTGCGATGCCTCATGCCTGTAGTCCCAGCACTTTGAGAGGCTGAGGCAGGAGAATTACTTGAGGCCAGGAGTTCAAGACCAGATTGGGCAACATAGTGGGACCCTAAGTTCCACAAAAAAAAAAAAAAAAAAAATGTTAAAAGTTAGCCGGGTGTGGTGGTGCGTGCCTGTTGTCCTAGTTACTTAGGAGGCTGAGGCAAGAAGTTCCCAGGCTGGGAGCGGTGGCTCACATCTGTAATCCCAGCATTTTGGGAGGCTGAGGTTGAAGTGTCCCTTGAGGCCAGGAGACAGACAAGCCTGAGAAGAACGAGACCCTATCTCTCCAAGAAGGTAGAAAAAATTAGCTGGGTGTGGTAGCGCACAGCTGCGGTCCCAGCTACTCAGGAGGCTGAGGCAGAAGAATTGCTTGAGCCCAGGAGTTTGAGGCTGCAGTGAGTTGCAGTAAACTATGATGACGCTACTGCTCGCTACCTTGGGCAACAGAGTGAGACACTGTCTCAAAAAAAGAAAAAAAAAAGAAAAGAAATTCGCTTGAGCCCAGGAATACAAGGCTGCAGTGAGCTATGATCATCCACCACTGCACCCCAGCCTGGGTGACACAGAGATACCCTGTCTCTAAAAAAAAAAAGAAAAGGATAAAAAAATTTGAATTCTTGAATGTGACACATAGCCTCTCAATACAACAAAGGATGCTTACAACAAAGAATAATCCACCCTTTGTCCCTTAATGTGGGTCAGAGCTCTGGGGCTCAGAGTGCCACAGCCTTGGAGTGTGTTCTCTTATTTAAAGTTGAAGTTGGTGAGAAGAAGATAGTATTAAAACAGATTTCCCCCTAAACTTCAGAGGCCTGCGGGACCAGTGATTAATGAGAAGTGCTGAGTCATATATGAGGTGACCCAAACCCAGAGATTCTGATTTAATTGGTCCAAGGAAAGAACTAGTTGATATTTAAACAAACTTTTCCTCCTGTTTCTTATGTGCTGTCATTTAAGAGACAAAACACTAATCTACATGTCTGGTATTTTTTTCTGCCAGAAAAAAAATGCGATTAATAAAAAAGTAGTGAGAACATGCAGTTAGGGAAGGATAAAAAGCACAGCAAACCTATCCAACCATGCTATAGTCATCCTCAGAAGGTTGGGGAGGATCCTGCCCTTCATTTACAACCCAGAACGTTGAGTACAACCTAAAGAAAAGGTATGACACTGAAGGAATAATCAAGATGTTATCACCATTTGCAAAAGTTGTTTGAAAAACGTAACTGAAATTTGGGTATTTCTTGTGATTCCATAATAGACTAGGGTGTCTCCTAAATCTAGTCACACAATGGCTGGTTGAATCTGGAGTACTGGAATGTGGTTGTTTTAAAAGATTTGTCTCACCCAAGGGTCACAAAGTCACACTAAATTGGAGGGATAAACGAGTACTATTAAGGGCTTCACGTTGTACTTACTATGTGGTAGACACTAAGTATTTTTCATTTATCAACTCGTTTGTTTAATCTTTACAACAGCCCTTTGAGCTAGGTACTATCATCATCACACAATTGTTCAAATAAACAAGCTCAGAGATGACATGTAAATTAACCCAAGTTCCCACAACTAGAAATTGATTAGTATAAAAGTTTGATCCCAAGTCATCTGGTTCTAATGGTTGTGCTTCAACATTTCACCACGCCATATCACATCACTTTGATGGTATAAAATTGTAAAGCAGAACATTCACATCTTAAGTTTTTGTTTATATATTTTACATCCTAAAACGATTATTATTTATGTCCAAAGAAAAATTTACGTGAGCCCACCCACTTAGCAATGCCAGAGCTGACAAATTTTCAGGATTTAAAAATGTGTTTTTCATATAAAATACCTTTTTTTTTTTGCACTGACAAAAACCGCAAATAGAAATGCAAACTGAGCACGCGCAGAAAGGAACACAGGAACTAGAGAAACAACCAAGTGTGACAGCTACTTTGCTGACAAAATGGGTGGCCCTGAAAAGGGCCTTTATGTTGGGAACGAAGACAAATGCACTCAGCCGCCAAAGCCGTAGAGAGTGCGACCCTGGCGCTTGAGCGCGTAGACCACGTCCATGGCGGTGACCGTCTTCCGCTTAGCGTGCTCGGTGTAGGTGACAGCGTCGCGGATTACGTTCTCCAGGAACACCTTGAGCACCCCGCGAGTCTCCTCGTAGATGAGACCGGAGATGCGCTTAACTCCGCCACGGCGGGCCAAGCGCCGGATTGCGGGCTTGGTGATGCCCTGGATGTTGTCGCGCAGAACCTTGCGATGGCGCTTGGCTCCGCCTTTGCCAAGACCCTTCCCGCCCTTGCCTCGACCAGACATGATGACTGAGCGAAGAACCACGAAACTGGCAAAACGCGTTGTGAGGACGCTGGCCTGAGGCAGCCCTTTATACGTCTCTGGCGGACCAAATTGAGAACCTAAAAGAAGGGGGCGGGAAGGCCCGCCCTGTTTGGAGGGGGAAATCTAACGCGCCAAAAAAAAAAAAGAGGAGTTGTGCTTTCAGTTTCCTTCCTTGTTCTGTTTTGTAATATAGCACTTTTTTGTTGGCATGCTTTAAGGCTTTAAAAAGTAAATGGCTTTTGAATGCAAAAGGAAAACATTAATATTGTGGAAAGTACAAAAAAGGACAATCAATAATCCCATCACGCAGACATCACCACTGCTAGCCACTAAGATATTTTATTCAGCAAATCAATGATAAATGTACATATTTTTCCAAACAAATGTATGCAGTGCTGTATATGGCGTTTTGCAACTTCTTTACACTGATTATATTTTAATCAATTTCCCTTATCTAAAAAGCTTTCCAAAAAAAGGTGATTTCCTTCCTTCCTTCCTTCCTTCCTTCCTTCCTTCCTTCCTTCCTTCCTTTTTTTTCTTTCTTCTTTTCTTCCTTTCTTCTTCTTTTTTCTTTTTTTGAGAGACAAGATCTAGCTCTTTTTCCCAGACTGGAGTACATTAGCGCAGTCACAGCCCACTGTAACCTCGAACTCCAGGGTTCAAGTGATCTTCCTGCATCAGCCTAAAGAGTAGCTAGGATTGTAGGCATGCTGCAGCTTGCCCAGGTAATTTAAAAAATTTTTTTGTAGAAATAGAGTCTGCTATGTTACCCAGGCTGGTCTCCAACTCCTGGATTCAACTGATCTTTCAGCCTTGGCCTCCCAAAGTGCTGGAATTATAGATGTGAGCCACTAGGCCCGGTCCTGTTTGTTATTTCTTCTTATGAATTTAGCTCTAGGACTTAGAATAATGTCCTTTCTAACTTCTTTTCCTATTTTAAAGGAGAATAGCATGTGATTTATTTCCTGAGGATAACCTAAAATTGAAATGCTTTGTCACAAAGGATATAGATTTTCAGGCATTTTGATTAATCTTACATAGGGAGCAAGGCCATTGGCGCCATAAAGATTCACTGAAAAATCAATGACACGAAGCAGATGGATTAATTGGGGAAAAAGACACAAAAATTTATTTTAGCATGTATACATGGGAGCCTTAAGAGTGAAAACTGAATTCTTCAATGAGGTACAGAGGTTTTTAAAGATTGAGAGCTTGGGTTGTAGCCAAACAGGTTTTGGGTGGCAAGACAGGTTATGGGAGGTAGAAAAGAAGCTTGGCTAGCAAAGATGGTCTTGTTATGCCTTGATAAAGCGTCACAGGTAGCAGCCCTCAAAGAGACTAGATGATAAATGTTTCTTTTCAGATTTTTAAAGGTATTAGAATCTCAGTTAATCTTTTCTAGATCATAAGGAAAGACCTGGTTGCATTAATGGAGATTCTTTACAATGCAAATTTCCCCCCACAAAAGACAGCTTTGCAAACTCACTTCTATCTCTGAGATCATGGAAGCCATCTCAAAATATATCACAGAAATATATTTTGGGGTAAAATATTTCTAATTTCCTTCACTTACTACATTTTCCTCAAAGGTTTTATTACATTCACTTTTGTCAGCAGTAACTATTGGGTATATATGTTTATCATCACTGGGTATTATGGTTTTTAAAATCTATTTGTTACATCCAGAATTGTAATAGAGTAGTAACCCCTCCTGACATAGATATGGAAGGGAAATTTTTTTATTTTTTTTTTGAGACAGAGTCTCACTCTGTTGCCTGGGCTAGAGTGCGGTGGCATCAGCCTAGCTCACAGCAACCTCAAACTCCTGGGCTCAAGCGATCCTACTGCCTCAGCCTCCGGAGTAGTAGGACTACAGGAATGTGCCACCATGTGCCACCATGCCCGGCCAATTTTTTTCTATATATTTTTAGTTGTCCAGCTAATCTCTTTCTATTTTTAGTAAAGATGGGGTCTTGCTCTTGCGCAGGCTGGTCTCAAACTCCTGAGCTGAAATGATCCTCGGCCTCAGCCTCCCAGTGTGCTAGGATTACAGGTGTGAGCCACCGCACTTGGGCTTGGAAGGGAAATACTGAAAGTGGGGAATATGTAACAGAGGGAATGGCCTGAAAAAAATGGCAAAAATATTTTGTCTCTTTAAAGCATACTCCATTCCTTTTTGACAACTAAAATCTTCATCCCAGCCTCAGGCCAATGATTGGGAGGGGCAAGGTAAGTCTTTTGCTATTTGTGCTACAGAAGATGGGACAGATTACAGTCATCAAATGTAGTTGAACTGCAACTGCCTGAAGCTGAATGGCCTCCCTTTAAAAGCTCTGTATTTTCCCTTATTATTAAGAGAATGACATTTCACACAGGAGCCTCCATCCTCCTCTCTTGCCGGCAAAGTCATAAAACTTGTCTTTCCTTGTCCTCAAACCACTTGTTCTCATTCTTCTGAAGTGGCCTTGAGTGTTACGGCAGGGCTGACCCAGAATAGACCAAGAGACGCACTTAGAGATCTGGCAAAAACAGGTTTTATGTGCCAGCCAGAGATTGGCCCAGAGGGGAATTTGCTCCCCCCAAATTCTGAGCACCAGACAAAGAGCATTGCAGTCTTTTATACACTCTGCTTAAGGAGGAGGGGCTCAGCTACAACAGGGTTAACTTTAGTGGGGCAGGGTCCTGAGCTACTTTACAGCCTGATACACTAATTGCTACAGGTGATTTATGAGGGGAAAGGTCACAGGGCAGGAAAGGAGGAGGGGCATGGTAACAACAGGGTTAACTTTAGTGAGGCAGAGCCCTAAGCTACTTTACAGCCTGGTACGTTAATTGCTACAGGTGATTTATGAGGGGAAGGTCGCAGGTCAGGAGGGGGCCCAGGCAAGGATCGCAAGGGAAAAAAAGCCCAGTAGTGGAATTTCTAAGAATTCCACTTTAGTGGAATTTCTAAGAATTCCACTTTAGTGGAATTTTCCAATCTTCCACTTCACTTGAGAACAATCCTTACACTTGAGGACAAGTGCCAGGACAAGTGCCAAGCTTTTGGTAACAGAATTGGATTTCAGTATAGTTGACTGAGTCTTTGATTAATCAGTCAGATTTATTGATTTATTTCCAAGTGATAATGTTAGGGCAAGTGTTACAGTGGGTGATTCCGAGGACAAACCGAGCGGCACACGGAGAGTTGGAGAATCAAAGGTTATTTGCCGGCAGGCTCAGAGGGGTCTCGTCACCAAATTCTGAGCTCTGTCTACCCGATTTTTTCCATTTTCATTAAGTTGGGGTGGTCTGGGGCGTGGGGTATCAGGTGGCTAATGCCTGCCAGGTAATAGGTTAGTTGATGTGTCAGATAATAGGTTAGTATTATGTTGATGCACCAGGTAATAGATTTAGTGTTATGCTGATGTGCCAGGTAATAGATTAGTGTTATGCTGACGGGGCTCTTCCGTGAGGGGTGGGGGTCTCAGGTGGCTGATGTGCCAAGTAATAGAAAGGGGTTTTCCTTATCAATGAAGTATTGTAGAGGTCAAGGAGACCCTTTCATCTCTGAAGGTTTGCTGAAAAATCAACTTGCAAAAGGTAGATTAATTGAAGAAAAGGCATACAAATTTATTAACATGTATACACAGGAGCCTTCCTAATGAAGACCCAAAGATACAGGGGAAATTGTCCATTTTTATGTTTAGGTTATGTTGAGAGGTAGCTAAGCTCCCAGCAAAAAACTGGGTCCCTTTGGTAGAGTTGCAAAGGATAAGAAAATAATAGAGAAAAATGGAAAATAAAAGAAATAAAGAATACACAGAGACAAAGATATAGTTTTATAAGTTTATAAAGATTATAGGCAAAGCGGGATCTCAGGGGGCCTAGACCTTCTCCGTGGGTCTCAAAAAGCCCCAAATGAGGTCTTACATGGTAACTTATAGGGAATAGTGATTACTTGCCAGGGGTAACAGATTTACATAACAACAGGTAGTTCCTCTCAGGTTAACAGATTTTCAAAAGGCTTCTACAGATCCTTTAACTAATTCTATCTACGTGAACAAATGGTTATAAAATCTTTCAAAGGTTAACTTCTAAGTTCTAAGGTAAATTTATCACTTAACAGAGGGGTTAAACAGAGATATGTTGGCTCCATATTCATTAGGTTATTGTGAATGGAGACAGGTAGTCTAGAGTGTTAAAACAAGGGCTTCTTTTAGCCTTTCGGGCAGCTGTCTGTTCCCGGGGGCACTCCATTGTCAGCTCTCATCCTGTAATTTTTAACAGATTTGCTTTGCTTTACAAAGCAAATCCAAACCTTCAGGTCTGAGAAATGCGGCGCCTTGTGGGATACAGCCGCTACTGTCTTTCAGAGACATCCTTCCCAATGCAACAACATTTGAAATGCAAACGAACATGTTCACATGTTCCTTCAGGGTAAAGCTTGCAAAACTCCTAAGACAAATCCTGTCTGCAAACATGTTTATATTAATTCATGGAGCAACAAGCTTAAACAAAATATGGACAGCCATGTAGAAATATGATTGGACAAAAAGGGTATGACCTAATGCTAATAGACTTGAGTGGGGACACTCAGCAAGGCCTGTGTGTCTAAACTCCTCTTTGCCTCTCTGAACATGCATTCCCTTCTTTCTGGTTGTTATCAAAAGCTCAGCACCTGTCCCCAAGGCCACATTGGAAGAATGAGGGCAAGTGGTTTGAGAAGGAAAGAGAGATTTATTAATTTGCCAGCAAATGAGGATAGACTCCTGACTAAAATGCCATTGTCCTAATAATAAGCAGAGCTTTTAAAGGTAGGGCATTCAGCTTCAGGCAATTGGTGTTCAAATACCATTGGTGATTCTGATCCTCCCGTATCCCTGAAGGACCTCCCCACCCGCACTTTCTGCTGAGCCATCTCCTGTAGCATAAAGAACAAAAGACATTCCTCTGCCTCTCCCAACTGCTGTCCTGAGCAGAGATGCAGATCCTAGTTC